AATGTCGACTTATTAATATTTGCAGTTATTTCGGATTAGTTTGATGAATGAAAGTTTTGTACTATTTTTTTGCATATCCGAGTTCTCTACAAAGCAAGTTTCGCTGTACAGGACTCAGCACACTGACAATTTGCGCTGCTCGTTACTGGCTACCGCACTCATTACGACCCCCCCCCTCTCCTGGCGGCCAAATACGACCCCCCTGTTGGGGATTCCCCAACCAACGATGTGCCCTGTTATCGAAAGTGTGCAAGCATATTATGCTGTTCATGATCCACATTATCTAGCAGAGGTATTCGTCGTGAATAGGTTTGTTGGGCAAGCTCCCCACTGAACAAAAAGGCCGCCTGATGCAATGCTTGTCTTCAACGCTAAACGTAAACGCTGAAATGTCAGAATCACTTCAGCCACTCTGATCTTAACTGATGGTGTAGTTTTTGGGCGTACAAAAGTTCTGCAGTACAAGTCATTCATTGGGGATAAAAGGGTGAGGGCATCCATCAGAAATGTCCGTATTCAAATAGACACTCCCCTTACAATTAGTGTTTTTGAATATGTAGAAATCAAGGAAGCTGTGCACACTATAAATAAGAGCAAAAAAAATTTAAAACCGCACATTTCTGGCCGTATGACGGATCCACCAATCGAAGAGATCGCCGCTTGAAGAACAGGAAGTATTATTAGGTTGTCCGGAAAGTTCTCAGCGTTTTGGGTGTTTCACTTTAAACGATCGTAACTTTTTTAATACTCATCGGATTTAATCGAAATAGGCACCATTCGAATCAGCACACTTTTGCCAATGTGACAGCAGTCGAGAAATCCCATCAAAGAAAAAACTGGGTGGTCGAGAATCCGAAATCCACGAAGGCTTTTTTGCCTGGTCCTGATTGATGAAGTATTTTCCAGCAAGGAGTTCTGAAAATGTTTGAAAAGGTGATAGTCGGTTGGCGAAAGAATATGGCGGTTGAGGTAGAACTTCAACCCCCAATTCGTTCAATTTATGGATAGTGATTTGTGAAACGTGTGGGCGGGCGTTGTCATGCAAAGGAATCGGACCCTTTCTTTTGATAAGTGTTGGCTGCATCTGACAAAATTTTCGGTACATTTCGTCGATTTCTTCACAGTAGGGTTCTGCTGTGATGGTTTGGCCTGGTGATAAAAAGTTATAGTGGATCACACCAGCCGATGACCACCAAGCCGTGACCAGAATCTTTTTTTCGTGAGGGTTCGGCTTTGAAAATTACCTCGGTGGTTCGTCGAAATCCAACCACTGTCCGGAACGTCTCCTGTTATCATACATGACCCATTTTTCATCACAGGTGACAATTCGGCCCAAAAACAGGTCGTTTCTGCTGCGCAAAAGCAATGCAGAAGGAACCTCGTGCCGATTCCTGCCGGTCACTCCGATTGTGGGGCACCCAATTGTCGAGTTTTTTCACCTTCCCAATGCGTTCCAGACCATCTGCAACAGTGGATTTGCCAAGGCCTAGCTCTTCTGCTATCTCTCGAACTGTTTGGGATGGGTCAGCCTCCAAAATCCCCCTAAAATCCTCGTCAGATATTGCTTTAGGTCGACCGCTATGAGGTTCATCTTCAAGGCTGAAATCTCCAGAACGAAATTTGTTGAGCCATTGCCGCACAGTGCTTTCTCTAGCACTATTGGGCCCCCACACCTGGTTAATTTGTTGAGCTGTTTCGATTGCGGATTGCCCCAATTTATAGTCGAAGAAAAAAATCGTCCGAAGTGCTCTTTTCACATGCTTGAAAAAATCTTGAAAAAAGGGGGTTTATCAAGCAATGGTGAAACGGCAATTATACCATCAGATAGCGCAAGAAATTCTCTACAGGATGTGCTACTGAGAAGCAAGGCAGAATGAGTTTTTAATCAGCAGTGAATGTACAAAAAATAGGTGCACAAAACGCTGAGAACTTTCCGGACAACCTAATACATTGCCCTCAGTTGAGAGTGGAACAATAAGTTTCCTCACAAATTCATTTTCTGTGCTCAGACTTCTGCAGAATTGAGTCACGCCACAGAGCCAGGGACAGATGTGATAGTTTCACAAGACTTTCACTTCTTTGATATCCTTTTTTTTCCATGATGAGAAGGCGGTGCAGAGACAAGTAGCACAGTTGCCATGCGCTGGGCTAATGCCGTTTGGACTCCAGAAATTTCGGCTCCGAGCTCATTTTCAAGCTTGATTGCCTAAGCCACCAAATCCACTAAAAACTTGTATATAGGGGTAATTCAACATCCTGATTACGAGTATGACACTCATTCTTGGCGCTGGCGCCAAGAGAGGACACTACGATTACCTCCTGGGCTCAGCCTTAGCAGAGCGCAGGTAACCGTAGTGTCATCCATTAGCGCCAGCGCCAAAAATGAATGTCATATTCGTGATCAGGATGTTGAATTACCCCTATATACAAGTTTTTAGCGGATTTGGTGATCTTGCCACTTTTAAAATGAGCTCGGAGCCGAAATTTCTGGAGTCCAAACGGCATTAGCCCATGCGCTGGCTCCGTTGTCCGTCAAATACCGGGTCGGCTCCAAGCCTTCTGTCATCCGTGGACCAGAAGCCAGGTTACAGATACAGATTAGTTCCAGATTCAGCTGTTATCAATTTAGCGATGAGAACACGGACTGGTCCCCGCAAGTCATTGTACAGACTAATCGCATTCATTAAAGGCAGTTGGCACGATGGTTTCCTACTTAGCCTAAAATGCTAGTAGGGCGCTGTATAGTGGGGAAATGGCGAAAGAACGGAGTGAAACGGTCCGCGAAGAAAAAGCCTCCGTTCTCAGTGACTTGTAAATCGATTTCGGACGAGTTTCCCGTACGCATCTTGCCAATCACCGCTACCGAAGATACGGCTGCATATGTGTACCCATATATGCATGCAGCATCACCGCCGCTTCATACCAATCCCTTTGCTTCATAATTTGCTCAGCAAATGAATGAATACGAGCGTCAGAAACGGTCGTCCGTTTGTGGGCGGGCGGGCAAGGAAGGCGTTTGGGACGTAAAGTTGTTGCTCAATAGGGCGTTATAGAGGTACCCTCCTTGGAAAAGGCTTCACGCAGCGCCTGTCCGAGGTCACGGAATTCTGTTAAGCCAGTTGTACAAATCCTACACCTGTATAGCGATTTATCGTGCCAACTGCCTTTGAGTCACTGCGATTTTCAACGAATGTAAAATGCCTACAGTATTCCAAAGAGGGATTGATCAACGGCTAAGACTTTATCCTTTTTTATACCACCCTTCAGGCTTGTCAAAACAACTCATGTAACAAAAGGCATCCGAAGAGCAAAACAAGACTGCACGAAGAATATGAAATCAACGGAACACTGGAGTAGAGCGAAAATAAGGAAATGATTATGTATAAAACGGGACCGTGGGAATCCTCTAAAATCTTGAGCTATCGAATGTTTCGAGAGCCAGACAATACCTGGACAGCCTTCGAACGTTTAATACAGCACTTCTTGTAAGTATGGAGAGGGTGAAAAGTTTGGTTCAACTACAAAGCACTAAGGAGGGTAGCATGTTCACTGCACGGCCATAGTAATCGAGAAGTGCGCCACAACGAACCCGAGCAACGATTTTTCAATGAAAACAATGTTATGATAGAAAAAATGATGCAATTTCTGGAAAAAGAAACACAGCGTACACTCAATGAGTGCCCAAATATTGTTGTTTAAATTGAAGCATGAACGATTTGAAAAGGGTACAATTGCACGTATGATAGCAGTACCAAAGAAGACCGGTAAACAAGCAAAGCAAAATTAGAGAAAAGGAAGTGTTCAACGAGAGAACATTCAGATCAACACACACCCCTACTCATATGTATATGTACAATGTCATGCAATTTGAAAGAAAATCGCAAAACGACCGGCTTGAGCTGATCAGCTGATTGAAAAGAAACTCGGTGAAAGTCAATTCAAAACCAGTTTTCAGTGTGTCCTGGGAGTTAGGAGAAGTACGATTTATTTTTTCAAAGACGAGAGGCCTGCCTTTAGCAAAGCTTTCTCGCTTAGAGGGATGAAAATCCCTGATGGGTTCAGCCACTAGGTAGCGAAATTAATTTGATCAGCAACTTATATCTGGGGCTGAAAAAGACGAAATTCAAAGAATTTAATTCATTAAACGAAAACTGAGAGGCTCTGGTTCTCCATTGGTTGCTGCTTCCGTAGCGAATTACTCTGCTGTACCCCATTCTTCAAAGTGAGTCTCCCGGCTTTGAAATAGACTAAGGCAGGGTGAATATGCTATCAACGCTGTGTGGAAGATATACTGGAAGGAGGACATGCACACAAGGGTATATGGAATTCTACAGTTTCCCAACAACCGAAGATTAGTGGTTTGCTAATGGGGATGCAGAAAGGATACAAGGGGTCGATTCTGTTACGGTCTTCCGACCACAGTGAATGCCGACTATATATCTATATCTATGGTGAAATCAAAGCAACCCGAGAATGATTTCCGGTCCGATGATGAAGTACACAAAAACTATGCTAGACTGAGTAGGAGTGGTCTATTCCTCGATCGGGGAGAGCTCTTTGACTACGTCGGCAAGCAGAAGTGACTATTGGAAACGTTGCATACGAATAATTCGACATTCGAAGTGAGCACGAATGGTACCTGATGCTCCCCTCCCTCCACTCTGAGTATGAATCTATATTCTGTATTCAAGGAATTTTCAGCTTTCTTCAAAGCTGCCAACAATTGGGAAAAATGTCGCCGCGGGACACACAGCAAAGAGTCAGAGAAAGTTGTAAAGATCGAGTGTACCCTGAACCGCTGTGCTTCACCGCACCTCTTGCACTCTGATGGAACCGACCAGTTTTCACCGATACAAAATAAAGTTCGTAATGATGTGCACTGGTAAGAAATTCTCAGTTATAGAATAGTATTATAATGATGGCATCAATTAAGGTTCCCGTGTACCACGAAGCCTACTGAAGGAAAATGAATGAGTGAGGAATGAAGAGTGCAATGAATTTCAGCTGTAAACCAAATAGAACGTCCAGTAGCCGAGATTGAATACTAGGAATGCCACAGGAAAGGCCGTTCGACACTGCTCGTCAATGCGCTGCGCTACCCTTCGACCACGTAGATTACGCAGTGTCCGTGTCCAGTGGAATGCACGTCGTGACACCTCTGCGGTCTGGAATGAATAAAAGAGGATTGCATCAACACTACAAAAGGAGTTTCTGAATCGAAATCTTCTGAGAAGTCACACTGGTAAAACGCATACAGGCAGACATGAACCTACGACGCATTCCCATCCTGCACCCACGACCACGCAGATGATTTCATGTTTTGTGATGGATGACAATTATAAACAGTGTCCATAAAGGGCCCGGAAAGAGCGTACATGATAAAAACTGGGCTCATGCGATTCCTCGGGAATGGTGATTGGGATACAAACGTGATTTTCATCCTATGCACATCGTCTGAAAGGAAGAGCGTCGACTCCGTCCACAAAAAGCCTCATAGCCTCATATAACTGCAATTCTGATGTTAGCAATTTTGACGGCATACTTTAGTGTCCCTGACCCCAAGCGCTGCAGCTGGGAAGACCCCATGTGATACGTATAATGAGTGAGTCTACTTCTTTTTCTCCTGATTATCATTAATAAGTCTCGTTAATATTCGCGCAAAACACTAAGTTCGTTCCTAATAGAACGACACAACCTCATCATCAGATGATCCTCTAGGTTCGCTCCATCTCTATAAAGATTTAGCAGTTTTTACGATTCGAATTGGGGGTAGGAAAACGTGATTCAGTGTTGTGCAGCTCAGATCAGCTTCGCAATGATATTTTGTAGGTAAGGGGAAACTTACGTGCTGGCGAATGCGAGACATCGACGTTTTCGAGCGTTTTCGCTTCAATCGATGCGAACCGACGAAATATCTGCAAAGTGGTCTGCTAAAACTAAGGAATTACGGGTACTGTCAAAATCTAGAACAAGCGGTTCTGATGTGATCTGAGATCCAGAAGCTGCTTAAGAAATTCCGCCATTTCGTGGCGTCAGCAACTAGTTCCCTTCAGAGCAGCTGGGTTAAAGGCACGGTCCGCGATAAAAAGTCCAGGTGATTTTGCAGAAATGTGGAAGAAAATTCGCCAAGTGAACCATCTATGAAGAGAAAATGCCAAAGGGAACGTTGGAAACGCATTCGTCAGGCCTCCTCTAGCCTCAAACTGTAGAGGTAAAAGACCGAAAAGACCGCGCGCTGGGACAATTCCCGTCGGCTGATTCCCAGTAATGAACCCTATGACTCTACAAGAGACATTGAATGCATCCACTCCATGATACTTGCCCGGGAGCATTACTTTTGGCTGGAAGGCCGACTTTGGAGGCGGAGTCTGGAGGCGGAGTCACTGGAAAAAGGGATGTACCACTGAAGCAACTTTGCGCCTTAATCCCTTTACCGTACAACTTTCCGCCGCGAAACTGGCACAGGGTTGTCCACTCCGGACCGCACTACCTTCCCACATAACCTCTTGCATTTTCATAGGTCATCGCCTACCGCTCCTTCAATGCAGTAACCCATATTCCTAGTGTTTATTTTATTAAACCTCTTGAACGAGCGGTGCAGCTTCTTTGCTCCAAAATAGGCGTTTATGCCGGACCTTTGTATTCCCTTAGAGCGACTCTCACTAGGAGAGAAAAGATAGATTAGAACTTTACAATTGGTTTTTTACCGTCCCATGTGCTTCTCAAACAGGATATTGCACAAAATAAAGATGATTATGATTCTGCGTCTAAATGCGATGCATTTGAAATCGCTTTTTTGGTAATGTACTGCACGTTTCTCATACCTCGCTCAATATCTGTTGATATAAAGCACTCAGTGTTCGACTAAATACCAACCTGGTTTCACTTGTGCTGACATTCGTGGAAAGCGACCGCAACCGTGGTTCCTTTCTCTCTGGGCTCAGCATGTTAAGAGCAATGTGGTTTTCCTGAGTGGAGATACCGACATCTTCGTCATTCTATGAAAAGGATCAGGTTTGAGCACATGGAATAAACAAAAGCCGTTCACTCCACCGATCTGTCTCCTTTCTGATCACTTTCAGCTCCACGCTCAACCAGGTTAACTAGTCACGTCATTGTCAGTATATAGTTACAGGTGGTGAGAAAGAGCAGGAAAGAGTTTCGACTACCCATGGAGCTCCCCAGCGATTTATGAGCCGTCAAGTTTGCAATGGGACAGTGCTGCGGTGGGCACATTCTAGCATCTTCGGGACAACTTGATAGTATTAACTCGCATATCACATCGACATATTCCCCGAGAAAAGCATAGCGCCCCTGCTACAGACTGTTGCGAGCAAATTTCGAATGAAGATGGCAATTTGACGGTATTACTCCAGCCGTATGTATTGGGTCGGCCCATAAGTAATGGCGTTTTTTTTCTCACTTGAAATATCGCGCGAAAAGTTTTGCCATAGCGTTTTAATCTATTTTGCAGAGAATTCCCCGCCCTATAATTCTTAGTTTTCTGAAGTTTCTCTTTCCTTTAACAGCCAAGTGCTATGTATATGGCCAGCCCCCACAAATCCTATCCGCAGCCTCAACGTGGCGTGGGGGTGAACGGTTTGGACTGTTCCAACACCGTACCAATGCGGAGGGTGCCACGTCAGAGCCTGGCGAGCTACGCGTGGTTAAATTTCTTCTCGCCGAAAACAGTAATAATTATGGGCCTCATTCCCCTGAACCTGAGGGAACCACCGACAGGGCGGCTGGCGAGGCTGCAAGAATCACAGGGCCAACGGAGATTTAAGTCGCCCAGGACTAGGATGACGATCTGTACTTTCAACGCACGGACGCTTGCATCGGAAGCTCACATCGAAGATCTGATGTTGCAAGCCAGGAAGATCAAGTACGACGTCATCGGACTGACCGAGACGAGGAGGCATCGCCCGCTACACGCCGTATACGAGACTGGAGAAGAACTGTTCCTCGGAACATGCGACAGCAGAGGCGTTGGCGGTGTGGGCGTCCTCGTCAACACGCACTTGGCCATGAACATCGATTCGTACGAAAATCTGACGACCCGAATCGGACGTTTGCGATTGAGAAGATGTGGTTCAACTCCAGCTTTGACAATCTTCGTCGCCTACGCACCAACATCAAGCTACGACGAGGATGAGCTCGAAGCGTTCTATATGGAATTGGAGAAGTTCTACAAGGAAGATCATACCTTCTTCAAGGTCATCGTCGGTGATTTCAACGCTAAGATCGGACCAAGAAGAACGGCTGCCCTACTCTCTACGCTGGACATGGGAGTCTCCTGGTGGACAATTCCATAATGAGATCGACCACATCATCTTCAATCGAAGGTTTTGCCTGACCGATGTCGCTGTTGTTCCTAAGTTCTACACGGGATCCGACCACCGTCTCCTTCGCGCAAGATTCCGCTTTTCGATGCGAGGAGAGAGAGCCGCAAAGTTCAAGAAGCGAAGCCCCAAGACCGTCATCAACTGGGATCACTTCACTTCTCTCGCTGGGCTCTGGGAGGATTCCGTCATCGACAACATCGACGAGGAATACGAACGGCTTGTCGCACACCTTCACGACTGCGCCAAGAAGTCAGAGAGTTCCAAGATTACCAAGAAGCGTCTATCTCTGGAAACTCTCGAGCTGATTCGCCAACGTGGAGCCGCACGAGCCGCAGGCAATTACCAGCTGACGTCTGAGCTTGCGAAGCTATGCAGAGAAGCGATAAAGGAAGACCTCAAGGAGAGAAGAGCAGCAGTACTGGTGGAAGCCGCAGAGGCTGGGAAGAGCATACGCAACGCCCGCCGCGACTTCGCCAACTGTAAGACCAAGATGACCGCCCTCCGACGTCCGGATGGAACAATCACCGCATCCAGAAGGGCAATGGAGAAGGTCATCCACGACTTCTACTCGGATCTCTTTGACAGCCACGTCCACCTGCCACCATACCGCTTGGAGCAGGATGGATACGTCGTTCCTGCAGTTCTCCCTTCCGAAGTCCGACACGCCATCTCGTCGGTGAAGAATCGTACGGCACCCGGTCCCGACAGGATCAGACCCGAACATCTGAAGAATCTTCCGCCAGTTCTTGTCAAAACTCTGGCTCGACTCTTCACGCGCTACCTGTCGGAATGCAAGGTACCCTCGTGGAAAACCAGCAAGACTGTGTTGCTGTACAAGAAGGGAGACCTGTACGACATTGGCAATTATCGCCCAATCTGCCTGCTGTCTGTAGTCTACAAACTCTTCACACGAGTCATCCTGAACAGGATTGGCAGAACACTAGACGAAGGACAGCCATGCGAGCAAGCAGGGTTTCGAAGAGGATTCAGCACGATCGATCACATCCACACGGTAACGAAGCTCATTGAAGTATCGCGAGAGTACAAGATGCCGCTATGTCTCACGTTCATCGACTTGAAGAAAGCCTTCGACTCCGTTGAGACAGAAGCGGTTATCGAAGCCCTGGGCAACCAGGGTATTCCTACTCAGTACATCAGGATTCTTCGTGAGCTCTACAGCAACTTCACGACCAAGATCTCACCATTCTACAAGGAGATCATCATCGAGAGAGGGGTCCGACAGGGCGACACCATCTCGCCCAAGCTCTTCAGCGCCTCTCTCGAGAACGTCATGCGTCAACTGGAATGGGAAGACATGGGAGTGAAGATCGACGGTCGGCAACTACACCATCTCCGCTTTGCTGACGACATCGTTTTGATAACACCAAACATCGAGCAAGCGGAACGAATGCTGGCTGAATTCGACTGCGCGTGTGGAAAAATCGGTCTACGGCTGAATCTAACGAAGACGATGTTCATGAGAAACGGATTGGTTTCTGATGCCCCATTCACGCTCAACGGAACGACCATCTCTGAATGCTCTAGCTATGTGTACCTAGGTCGTGAAATCAATATGATGAATGACTTAGCTCCAGAGCTGAGCAGGAGGAAGCGAGCGGCTTGGGGAGCCTTCAAGAACATCGGGGAAGAACACCAAGCTCCGTGCCCACCTCTTCGATTCCGCGGTCCTTCCTGCCTTGACGTACGCCTCAGAGACTTGGACTCTACGAAAGCAGGATGAGCATGCGGTCGGCGTTATTCAACGCGCCATCGAAAGGGCGATGCTCGGAGTTTCCCGCTACACGCAAGTGAGAGAGGGAATCCGGAGCTCCGCACTCCGCCGACGATCGAAGATCAGAGACGCCGCCGCATTTGCCAAGGTTTCGAAGATCAGGTGGGCCGGACACGTCATGCGTTTCGAGGACGACCGCTGGACCAGAGCATCACCGACTGGATTCCACGGGATGTCAAGCGAACGCCTGGACGACCGCCTATGCGATGGTCAGACTTCTTCGTGAAAGCTCTGAACGAATGGTATGAAGTTCATCGTGTCCCTCGAGCAGAGAGAGTTCATTGGGCAACTCTTGCACGTTGCAGGGACGAATGGAGACGTTACTGGCGCCCGCTCGAGGAACTCGATGATCAACGGGAGCACAGGTGATACAGGAGGTGAGGTATATGGCCAGCTGCTAAGTATATGGCCAAGAGGCTATGTCTCTTAGGGATGCCTATAATAGTTTAACTGATTCGAAGATTTTAATTTCGACTTCCGTCAGAAATCTTGGAATGCTTTCTCATCGTAAACAAACCCTCAACTGATGTTTGACATTTGGAAATTGGTGGGTAGGTTCTGCAGGCAGCCCTCTCCAAGAGGGCACCCCAGGCTAAGCTCTTTCATACCATCTCCCGATCGGTTTGACCAACTTTGAATTGTCATCAGAGGGACCCATGAATATCACGAGTTTTGAGCTTCTTCTCTGATTTGAGAGTCGAGCTAAAATGCAAAAAGTTGTTGTCGAAAACTCACTTTTGTGTCGACCCGACACTCCATTTCAGTAAAATAAAAATTGACAGAAATCAAGCAACAGTAGGAAAGCAGCCATACTGTGTTATGGGGCAGAACATTATTACTTATGGAGCAACCCTGATTGACATCACTGCAGCCAGTCGGGCCGCAACCAGCAGTCCCCACCCGCTCGCTTCCACCTCTGTCTTATTTCCTAATCCATCGCTGGACAGCCGGGGGCGGGTTCAGCGGATTATCCTCACGCCGGCCCCGACTGACTGTGATGTCACAAACCGTACGTAGATCCTCCTTCAATGTTGGATGAGAAGTAAACCAAGAGCCAATCATCGCCTTGCAAACCCTAAATAAACCACTTCGAGCATTGTGAAGCTTTACAGAATGTGGTGATCGTAAGGCAGCGTTCAGACTTGTAGCGCTACAGCTTTAGCAGAGCTCACTATCAGATAAATATGAGAAACAAAGAGAAGAGGGTTGAATACAGAAAGAAAAAACATAAAAGCTGGAGTTCGGTACAACTGTAGCGCTACAGTTGTACCGAACTCCAGCTTTTATGTTTTTTCTTTCTGTATTCAACCCTCTTCTTTGTTTCTCATATTTATCTGATAGTGAGCTCCTGTTTTCTACTTTATCACATTTTAATGTAGTTGAAGTGTGAATAAAGTTTCGTCATCGGAGTCAACGTGAGGCACCACTGCAAGACATCAAGCAAAGCCATCAAACATCAATAGCAACTCTGAAACCAAATAATTAAAGTCAAAAACGATAAATAAAACCAATTATCACAGTCTTCTGTATCAAAAACTACATTAAAATGTGATAAAGTAGAAAACAGGAGCTCACTATCAGATAAATATGAGAAACAAAGAGAAGAGGGTTGAATACAGAAAGAAAAAACATAAAAGCTGGAATATTCTCCAAGTTCTCTCTTGTTGTAACCTCGGCATCGTTGTTTATTCTGTTTATATTGCTATGCCACTCGAGGTTTTTAGGTGGAAATCTTTATTTTACGGCCTAACGTTTCGACTTGGTCGTCTTCTTCAGAGGCCTAAACGCGTTTCGAGGTTAGGAAATGAAC